TTTCTTTTTTTTTTTTTTTTTAGAATTTAATGATTAAAATTTTTCGAATTTTTTGATGATAAATTTTTATTCTATAGTATTTTTATCTTTACAGATGAATTTTTTATTGATCAAAAATGCTAAAGTGATAAAGAAAGATAATAAACCGATCAATATCATGCAATATCTAGTGAATATAGAGGATAATAATCTAATATATTTATTTCAATTAATATATTATTAATAAAAAAATAAAATAAAATAAAATAAAAAAAATTTTTTTTTGTAAAAGAATTAATATATCTAAAAGAAAATTAAGAAAAAAATAATATAAAATAAAAAGTAATACAATTCATTATTTCTATTCTCTGGTTTTATTAAAGATTTTATTTTTTGTCTATTCTTTAGTTTTCCGTTCAATTGATACTGATAATTTAAAATTATATTTATTAATATATCATAAAGATCATGATAATTCCATAATATTCACATATATTTGGTACAAACTTACTACTATTAAATACTCAAGAAATAATAAAACATATAAATCATTTTCTATAATTATTAAACTAATATAAAAAAAGAAATCATACATTTTATGAATTTCTTTGGAAATATCATCGAATAAATAATCTCAATTCCTTCATCTACTTTTAAAATCCGAAACTACCATTTCAAAAATCCTCGCATAATTCTTTGATCCACATGAACAACCGAATCTCAACTGAACAACATTGCGCCAAGTAATCTCAGTCTGCTATTTCTTTCACGGGAAAATAAAAAAAAAAAAAAAGAAAAAAGAAAAAATAAATAGAAAGAAGAAGAAGAAGAAGAAGAAGAAGAAGGAAAAAGAAAGAAACCAACAGCGTTTATTCATTCGAAAAACGAAAAGAATAGGTATTCCAAGCGAGAACGACAATACCGACCTTTATAATGTCGGCAGAGACGCGCGGTCGATAACGTTTCATAATGATCGTCGGTAATCGAGCCTCGAAACGTTTCAACCCTACTAAGTCGAGTTTACATAAACGAGAATTACCTGGCTCGTAGCCGCATCCTTTGTGTCTCCCGTTCACAATGTCCTGGAACAGGGTTTTGTCGGCGTCGCTGTCGTGCAGTTTCGTCGACACGGCCACACACAGATTCTTGGTCGCGTCCCAGGCACAGTGAGGATCCTGAAGACCGACGCAAGACGCGCAGGTGGCCGCCGCAGGGGCATCGCAATGGTGCAGTGGTACCGCGCGAATTTCGGAGTCAGCAAACACGACCAACTTGCTCGCCTCGCCGGCCAGGTGGACCACCAACAGATCCTTGATCGCTTGTCCTGCACGTGAACGGAATTGAACACTTTAATTCTCGTGTAGGGATTAAACGTGCGAAAGGGGATGGAGCAGTGTCTCTCAATCTTTCTTCAGAAGAAGATCTATTTTTTTAAGGTAGATAACTAATTAAAATAATTGCATAAAAGTATAATTATTTTTGGCAATAATTGAAAGAAATATTTATATGCTATTGCGTTTATTATAGTATTAATTAATTTGGTTTAGTTACTTATAGATATAGATAATATAGAAATTGAAAAAAAATATTATTTTCTTTTGGTAAATTAATTGTAAGTGTGTACCTTTTTGTCAGGTCTGAAAATCTATTTTTATCTTATTAATATTCAATTTTTTGAATTTTATTGATTGAAATATGTAATTATTCGTTGAACAATTATTCGTTTCTAAAAATTTAGATCTATGTTCATATTATCATCTTTCTTATTATTTTTTATATTTTTCATTTAATTCAAATAATATACGTATTCGTAATTATTTTTTTAAATTTTAAATTCGTGAAGAATGTAGCTATAAATAAAAATAGTTTATTAAAATTTGACAAATATCCTATAAATAATAAATTATATAATTAAGAAAATTAATTTCAAATGATAAAATCTTAATGAACAATTCCATCTTGTTTTTTTTCTTCTCAAAAAAAGAAAAAAAATGAACGAAACGTAAATTAAAATTCTTGAAAATTAAAATTTGGATGCAGGATCCATCTTCGAAATTTCCTATTTTGCATCGTGTAATTGGATTGATGCTTATCGGACATGCACGATCGAACGTCGAATTTCACGAAGCTCCGAGCGTTTTATTCAGACGTTAAAAAAAGAAAAAGTCGTGGAAATTTTCGAGTACTGCTTACCATACTTCAGCACTTGAACGTCGCTTACGATGACCTGGCTAACATTGCTCAGTGAATCCGGTGCACGAGTGTTGAGCGCTTTGAGAACTCGGCCGTCGTCTATGCATAATTATGAAATTATCATAATTAAATCCGTGCTTTTGTTAGTTGCGGTACACACAATTGTTGTAACTCACCTGTCCCGACATACAGAATGTCGTAGGCCTTGCCATCCAACGCCTTCACTTGAGGATCCACGGCAACTTTGGTAAATCTGTAGCTGGAACATAACATTTTTTCAAATTACATTTTTTGAACATTTTTGAAGATTGTGGAGAATATATAAATTTTAATTTTAGAAATCGTTAATAATAATTTTTCTTAAATATAAAAATATTTTTATTAATGTATAGAGTTAAAGTATTATATATTCAACTAATTATTCAATTATCAGAATGATTAATTCTCCTACAAATTTTAGTATCAGAAACTAAATAATTTATCCCGTTGTTTTGTAGAGAGAAATTAATGCTCAACAACTTTGCCAATTCGTATAATCTTATTTATTTAGCAATCTTACTTAAGTTACCATAAATTATTATCAGGCAATATTTGACTTAAATATTAAGTTAGTTTCTGTCTGGTTCACTTTCTGATTACTACTGCTAACAACTATAATTCCACCAAGCTCTAGATATATTCAACGATTAATATATATCAAGATAATTGGATCGTGAAATTTAATTACTCGAGAAATTTTCTACAACATACTATCATAAAATAAGTTATAATATATACAATTGAACGAAAGCATAAATGAGAATATTAAATTCAAAATTAAAAAAATTATTGAATACAATTCACATATTTATTTATCATCCATTGAATTATTAATTAAATCAAATTAATCAAATCATCGAATAACAGAATTCATAATCAATCCCTAAAAATAAAATTTTCACATCTATCATAGAAACAATAACAATAACAATAAATATATTATTTTTCTCTCTGAAAATTTAAATATTATACATTATATCGTGAAACTTTATTTTTTTTTCAGAAATCAATGAAATAAAGTGAACTAGAAAGCGTAATAACTTACTTGAAGCTGACTTTGGTTATCACAGGTAATGAGAAGAAGGATTGGACCGCGTCGTCCATGAGGGGGTGCGCTTTCACAAAGTTTACGGTCACGTCTGGAAGCGTTCTGGAGTCGTTCACGCATGCACCAGGCCTTGGCTCGGGCACCTTTTCCGGAAGTACACGTAGCCAATTGCTGTTTATGGTCTCCTGCTCCTTGAACGCACCCTGGAAGACTTCGAGGACGTTCTTCATGGAGAACGCGCAGACGGCCGAGCCCCCGATCGAATTCACAGGGGTCGTGAACACCCCATAAACCAATCGGGCACGTTCGCCGGCGTAAACACCTTCCGTGACGTCGCTCGTCGACTCTGGAACGATTATAAATCGTTCGATAAATTTCTCTCATTTCACATTTAACATCGATTTTCGACAATTAACCCCTCCCATCTTATTTCTTATATTTTTCGATATGAACTGCAATTGCAGGATTTGTACGCGATACGATTCTTTTCAGGGGATGCTATTTCGACGTTTGCTTGTATAATGAATTGTGAACAATGATATTGAGAAATTGAGAAGGTGTGAAACATTTGAGGAGATGATAATACGATTTTTTATTGTAAGGTAAGATTAACGCAAATTTTGTCTTTATATATAAAATATTCCCTTTTGCGAGGATAGTAGTTTAAACTTCGAATAAACTGAATTATACTTTAGCTCTTATTTTTTACATTATTCGATATTCAAATAATAATTATTTCTTCTAAATACACAATTAATTGGAAACTGTATATGTCACACGATTAGTTAGCCTTTGAATCACGGCCAGCATTGGAGTACACCATTGGATGGCCATTAATATTAAGAATTCAGCCAGGGACAATAAGGTTATAGAAACGTGATCCAACTGAGGAGAAGATTGAATGGAAGTCGGGTGAAAGAAAACGTGGCGAAAGTTTTCTGTCACCTTCTCGTTAATTCCGCACGAGCGGGGCTAAAAACCATTAATGCGCCCCATTCTTCGTGGGGCATTAGCACGAAGAAAGGATAATTCGTGTTCGATAAAACATTGAATAAAACGATGGACTTGACATCCTCCTCGTCGCGAAGGAGGAGAAAATCGGAAGATAGTAGCTCTCAGAGATGACGAACTTTTTATTGTCATTAAAGTGCTCGTAAATTGAGCTGGGAAAGAAGGTCAATTTTGGATGACAAGATTGCTTGGGTTCAGTTATGAAGCTTATTTGAATAATTAAACGTTGCAATACAGGTTATACAGTGGCAAGAAGAAAATATTGGCATTAAAGTAACGTTGCTTTTGTGAGATATAGATCAATATAAAATAATATATTTAATATATTTAATCTTTAAATGATTTGAATTTTGTCTGAATATTGTAAAAATATTGTGTTCATTGTTCATCCTCAATATTTCAGAAACTAACTTATCGTTCAAAGATCAATGTAAAAAATTTACATAAATATATATATATATACACATAAATTATAAATTACTATTAATTAATAAATTATAAATTATATATAAATAATTATATATAAATAATTATAATTATAAATAAATTATAAATATTATTAAATAAATTGAAAATAATCTAAAAAGTTTACCGAAACATGTCATATTATATAAAATATTTGACTATAATAATCCATCCAAAAATAATTTAAGTAATTGTGTAATAACCCACTTTGCGTTTAACTTTTCTTTAATTGAAAATGAATATTTCTCCAAATAAATATTCTGAAAACTTGATTTCACGATTTTAAAATGCAATATATAATTTTAAATACATTTTTCTCGGAAAAATAAAAAATAATAATCTTAATAAATTTCTTCAAAAGATGGAAAATCCGGAAGTAGGATTAATACGATATACAGGGATGATTTATCTACGTCTTGTGAGAAATCGAGTTTAGTTGAAGTCGGATTTAAAGTTTAGTTTCGTTACTGAACTCTTATATAACAGTTATCATCATATTTACAAATTTCTCAATTTTTGATGCACAGGATTTACGAGTTTATTATTTGCAGTGAACTTTCTCTGAAACTAAGTTAATTTCACTAGGAAGTTATTGCTAAAGAGTGGTGTCCCAGTTATCCCATCTTAAAAAAGGGACTCGTTTAGAACTTGGGATGACTTTCTTGAGATTAATAAAAAATTTTCGAAAAATGTGAATAAATATTGTTTTTCTTTCTTTATTATTATCAATGAATTTGTGAAAATATTTTGATGAGATCTTATAAATTTATAATTATATTAGTTGTAGGTTTACGAGTTTACTTGAAACTCGAGAATTCCTTGGAAAAAAATATAATGGCTTTCAATTTTTTATGTAGAAATAATATATGGAATAATAATAATATATAAAATAATAATGATAAAAAATTTATATGGAAGATTAAAAATAAAAAAATTTGAAAAATCTAATATTAATATTTACATTAATTTGAGAGAATGATTATAGAATATCTTTTATAAATTATACAAAAAAATTGTCAAAACTTATATTTCAAGAATTTACACCATTAACAAATAAATAAATTACATTAACAAATAAATAAATTATGCAAACATTTTTTTGAGATTAATGAGATATAAAATTAATTGAAATATGATAACAATTCCTCTCTTCTTCACATTGTTCACTACTTAACCTTTAAAAGCTATCGTGGATGAAATTTCATTACAAGCAAATTTTGCTTTAATATAATTTTCTTTGATGATAGCTTTTAAAGTTACTAATTAAATTAAAACAAAAAAAAAAAGGAATTATTAATTACGAGTTATTAAAACTACTAGTTTTCTTGATCTTCTTCTAAAACTGATTCCGTAAAAATCCGTACAAAAATTAAACAAATATGAATCTCATCTATAATTTTCTACCCAAATATCGTTCTTGAAAATATCTAAATCTCCAATTTGAAAAATTAATAATCAAGAAAACTAGATCAAATAAAATTAATTTTTCTAATCTCCTTAAAAAAAAAATAAGTTCCTCGTGATTTACCATGTATGATAAATCCATACGAAAATTCCCTAGAAAAATATGAATCTTAAAAAAAAAAAAATTACTAGTGCAAAATTATTATTCAACATTTACATATTACAATTCAAAATATTATTACGAAAGTCCGGCCCAATGCGAAAACATTGCATTAATTCCACGGGCTTCAATCTCGGCCGAGAATCACCAACAATCTGCAATTGCGTTTATCGTCGCATTTATCACGATGAAAACGTGGACGAATAGTCCCCGCGGTGCCATGAATTCGAGAGTGAATTTTCGCGGTAAAGCGCGAAAGTGTGAAACGGTCTTTGCACCGTTAAAAGAGCGCGGCCTCGTCAAGCACGCTGAGCGGAATCATGTAATTAGAAATTCGGGCGTAGAAATTCGGGGAAGGCGTTGGTTGAAAAGATGATCAACGGTCCGGAAACGCAGCGACTTCTCCGGGTGCAAATTGTTGTTCGTTTCTCCCGTCAAAGAGGAAAGCGTCTCGCTCTTTCAAAAGTACCATCGCGCTTACGAGAGCAGTTTCCAGTAAATACACTTGCTTGCTTTTAATAAAGCTGCGGATCCTTGATCACGAAAACACTCGACTAGATGAATAGGCGGGTGACGAAGTTGAGGCTGAGCCAATGTTACCAGGTCGAGAGTATCTTTTAAAAAAAGGGTTTGATCAATTTTCTTCGTTCATTTTTTTTTCCCTTTCTTTTTTCTTTTTTTTTTTCTTTTTTTTTTTTACAACAATGCGATGCTAATCTCGGGCTCCTATTTTTGTTTAATTAAGGACCGGTGGTATGGATCGGTGAATTTTAATTAATTCGTTATTTTCGTAGAAGAGCGAATTACAGAGGAGAGTATCGTGATTACAGAGAACAGGATTTTAACAAAAGGATATGAGTACTAGTCATGAGACTAGGTTGAATAAATTTTTTGTTGCGAGAAACATATGGTCATTTTTATACGTTGTGCAGTTATCAAATATTTTAAATAATTGTACATGGATGTTGCATATTTTTTGTTGGAGAATATAACATTTTTTTCGACTCATTATATAAGGAATATAAGTTTGAATGAATGATTAAAATATATATATATATATATAATAATTGGATTAACAAGTATTAAAATAGAATAACAGAAGAGGAATAAAATTGTTTCAAAAATATTTAAAAAATTTGTGTGATTTAACAGATACTTGAATTTTATCGAGTGATTAAAGATTTTATAAACTATTCATCTATAATTTATTTTCTGAATAATTATTTATCAAAAATTGAAAGTTATATACAATAGAATTTTATTATAATATGTATAAATAACTTGATTATCGCATAGGAGTATTAATGGATGAAGTGTTTAAAGAATCAATCAGAACAGTTTAATGAACTGGAAGGCCAAAAATATATCAGCATCTGGTAGCCAAATGTTTCGTTTATACGACACAGAGGTAAAAAAGGATTGTGCCTTTCAACAACTTCCTGGAATTTGACGCATGAAACAGTGCAGAGAAAAGTTTTAATGGTAATAATTGTGGATAAAATAAACTATCTTCATTTTTGATGGATGTATTAAAAATTAAACATGTAAGAATACATAGATAATGTTAATATTCAAGGAAAGATAATTTTTATATTTAAAAATTATAAATAAAGCTATACCATGTTGAATTTTATTTTATATACGATACAAAAATATGAACTGAATGAAGCTTTTGAATTTTTAACTGTGAAATGAAAATTGAATAAATTGAAAAATTGAATAACTAAAACATTGTATCGAAAAATTAAATAAATTATATAATCACCTTTGCAATATCGTATAACGTTCCATTTACGAAAAATCAACAACAGTATAAAATAAAAAGTTTATTTGACGTAGTTATATGTATTTTCATAAAATTTGTAGAAAAATTTTTTATCAAAAGCTTATAGTATAACCAATTAATTTCGATAAACTTTGAAAAAAACAATTTACTTTTATGAAAAAGTTTTTAGGATATAATTTTATTAAAATTCCTGCGTGTAACATCGTGTATATTTATCGTTTTAAAATAAAAATCATTTTGAAAATTTACCGAAATATAATATAAAATGAAAATATAATATTAATAATTATTCTATACTTTCCATATTATCTTCTTCACATTTAATATAAATTATTATCTATAAAATATTAAAATAATAAAATACAAAATACGATAGTTATTAAATATAACAATAAATATTAACCTCCTAACAAGATTAAAAAATTTCGTATTTTTTCCCTAATAACAACAATACGATATTAAATATAACAAATATTAAGGATAATTATTAAATATTGACACAGGAATTTTTATAATCTAT